CAATGGGCCAATGGTGCCATGGGCCATCCCAAAGAGGATGGGGCAAGCTTGTTTTCTCCTGCTCTGGATGGCAGGAAGCGGTTTCAGCTGGCTGCTCAGACCGCATGGCTCTCACCAGCCACTCTTGAGTTCTTATACCAACAATCTAGGAACTTTCCCCACTTTGTAACTAAGCAAAGTTTTACTGCCTGGGGAACTTTCTGAAGGACACGAATATGACCTTTGAAGAGTTTGCAAGTAAACCTTTTTTATTTATTTTTTACTAATAGTCCTTTTCCCAGGCTGGTGGAAGAGAGAAACTTTGGAAAGAAACTTTTGAAGGAAATGTTTGGGAACTCACCATAGGAGCCAATGCCTAGGGGCCAAGGAATACAAAGCCTCTCTTTCTTTCTCCTCACATTATACACTGTTTTTGTTCAGGCTCCTCACATTATACACTGTTTTTGTTCAGGCAGTAAAGTGCTATCTGGATTTATTTCTCTCTGGACTCCATCTGCATTATTTAAGTGACTTTGCTAACACGCACAGGTGCCTTTTCCACATCGATTGATTGGGGGTTGCCCGCACCCTCTTGTGGTCCTGTCTCTTTTAGCCCTGGCTTCCATTTTGCATTCTGCCACACACACACATCATGGCATTTTTGACGGATGCCCATTGCACTTCCTTCAAATTCCATATGGGACCATTGTCCCCAAAAGATTGAAGACTCCCCCCCTACTAACATGTAAGCAATGCACCTATGTGCAAAGCACAGTCTTGATTAGGCGCAAATATCTCAAGCAATGAGGAGCTAGCTGAGAATTTGATCATTTAGTGCGATAGCGTCTCAACTTTGGAATTCTTTGCCTCTTGAGGCCAAGCAGCTGTTTTTGCCATATTCTTCCCGGTATCTGCCGAAAGTGTTCTAGTTCACACAAACCCGTCCAAAGGCTTAGAAAGTTGGTGCAAGTTTTAATGTGTTTTAGCATTTTAACTCTCTGCACGTTTTAAAGTATCACAGATCATTCCTGATTTTGTCATTTCACCTTTTCATAAACAACTTTGAGGTGTGTGTGCGTTTGTTTGTTTGTTTTAAGAATCAAACGGCGCATAAATTTGACAAAGCAATTAAATAAAGAAATAAATATCAGATGCCACAACTCAGGAATGCAGCCCAAAGATTCTTTAATGAAACAACTTTCTTCTCACCCTTTAGCACTTAAAATCACCCCTGAAAAACTGCCCTTAAGCAGAATAAGCACTGCTATTTTTCTAGAAAAATAGGTGCCAGAACTCACCACAAACGCCTCCCTTGTTCTCTTAGAATGGCACCAACTGAGTTCCAGCTGAAAAAAGCCCTGATTGCAAGATCTAAAGATGTGCACAATTGCAGATACACCCCTGTGCATGATTGACCCCATCCCACTAAAGAGAACATAGAGAAATCAACCACCCCGGTTTCCCCTCCTTTCCCCCTTCTGAGCGAAGGGTCTTCTCCAGCCACCCGAGGTTATCAGGGCAGGTAGTTCAGGTTGCAGCACCACATGGCAAATTTCTGTTAAAAAAATAAAAAAAGGTCATAAGAGATTGGGTGAGGATGATGAACCTCCCATTTCGCCACTGGATTCCACCCTCTTCAACTCAGGCCCCTGTAAATTCTGAGGCAGAAAACCCAAACAGTGGACACCTGCACTCCGGGGAATGGGAATTGGGGCCACTGCATTACGTTAACACCCGTGTCGCCTTTGTAAGAACTCCATCATTTAGTGTGGCAGCATCCAAACTTTGGAACTCCCTGCCTATGGACATCAAAGTGGCAGGACTCCTTTTGGCACCTGCTAAAAACATTCTTCTTTAGACAAGCCCATCCAGGTGCTTAGAAAGCTGGCGGGACTTTTAATCTGTTTCAGTAATTAAACTTTCCCTATACATTTTCCTTGTACAGTTATATTTCTTGCATTGTTACAAATACCTTGTACACATGTTCTTTTCTCTTTTTGCAAGGCCCCTCGAGGTTTTTCCCAATCAAAGGGGGGGTGTAACTTTTATGAAATAATAAACTCGGGGCACAATTCCTTTGGGAAGTTCTCCTGCACAGTCCCTTTAGGAATGAACGGGGGCATGGGGGGGGGGGAGGTGGCAATGGAAGAAATCCTGGCCAACAGGGATCCTTTCAGGACACAGTAAAGATAAAGGGACCCCTGAACATTAGGCCCAGTCGTGGCCGACTCTGGGGCTGCGGCGCTCATCTCGCTTTACTGGCCGAGGGAGCCAGCGTACAGCTTCCGGTCATGTGGCCAGCATGACTAAGCCTCTTCTGGCGAACCAGAGCAGCGCACGGAAACGCCGTTTACCTTACCGGAGAGGTACCTCTTGATCTACTTGTGCTGGTGTGCTTTCGAACTGCTAGGTTGGCAGGAGCAGGGAATGAGCAACGGGAGCTCACCCCGTCACGGGGATTTGAACCGCCAACCTTCTGATCAGCAAGTCCTAGGCTTTGTGGTTTAACCCACAGCACCACCCGCATCCCTCAGGACACAGTAGCAGGGAGATAAATGAAATGAAACTTTACTATGGGAAGTGAAAAGCAGGATGGGTTGGAGAGGGAGCCTGCCAGGGGCAGCTAAAGAGACCCTTGGTGGTAGTCAAGCTATAGCCAAAAGGTAGACCTTCCTCACCCCAGACTCCCCCCATTCTCATGGCTACTAGCCAGAATGGCTCTGATCTGCCTCCAGAGCTGGAGTTAAAATACCAGAACAGAATAAAATTCACACAAGCGTTTCCGAGCTCAACATCAAGAGGCAGGGAGTTCCAAAGGGTAGCTGCTGCCACACTAAATGATCGAGTTCTTACGAATACAGAAGAGGGATTATGGGACACAGTGCCCCCCCCTCATTATTTCCCAATTCCCCCATTTCTTATGTCCCGCATGCTCTCCCACCCAACACTGGCATATTTAAAGTCTCTCTTCTCACCGGGACAACAATGACGTCACGGCAGGAGGAACAGGCACAGTTTATGGGGAACGGCCAGGGGATTCCGCCTTTCAGACTCTCTGCAGGAGAAGACAGGGAATAAAAAAATTATCATGCAGTTATGGCTGTGCCCACATCGCAAGAGCTAAAGACTGATACCCCTGGCATTTTCGCCTCGGAGCACTTATGATACGATATGATACAATACGATACGATACAATATATTTATTGTCATTGTCCCATACAGAACAATGAAATTGACAAACTACGTAAGACATTCAAAAACCCCTAAAAACTCTGAAACCCCATTTTAAAATACAATATAGTATAGAGACTCCTTATGCTGTGTTTAGAACCAGAATTGCATTTGGGTAGAAATTGTTTTTCAGGCGGCTAGTCCTAGTCTTTATAACCCTGTACCTTCTTCCAGAAGGCAGAAGCTGAAAGAGATCATTTCTGGAGTGCGCACTATCCTGCACTATCTCTGCCGCTTTCTTATGGCACCTGGAAGCGTAGATTTGATCCAAGGTGGGTAGAGTGCACCCGATTATTCTCTCCACTATATACTGCAGAGAGGAAGTCCGGCCTGCATTTGATGCAGATAAAGTCCCACCAAGCAGCTTGGGTTTTTGAGAGTCCTCCAAGCCTTTAGCAACACATAATATTTGAGTTATTTTTTTCTGCCACACTTTTTATTTCTTTTTTTACCCACACGGAAGTTGCCACTCTCGCAAGGTTTTCCATTGGGGGGCAAGTGAGGATTGGGGGGCCGCTGACATTCATGTCAAGGGTCCCCAAATGCTGGAACCTTTAAACCGACCATCCCCTAGATTTCGCTGCGGCGAAGTCGGAAGGAGATGCTTGAGGCGGTGCAAATCTCACCAGTTGTCTCAGCAAAACGCGCCCCTGAGCAACACTCACCGTTGAATAAGTCCCGGCAGTGTGTCCTTATCAGAAACAGTTCCTCTATCACGGAGCCCTGCAAAAAGAAAACCCTCCACGTGTCAAGAGAGAGGCAGATGGGAATCATGGAATGTGGACTTCGAAGGGGTCCCCAAGGGTCATGTAGTCCAACCCGCTGCAGTGCAGGAACCACGTCTAAAGAATCCATGACGCATGGCCATGCAGCCTCCAAATGAAGGAGAATTGGGCCACCTTCTGAGGCATCGCACCTTTCCTGCATTTACACTTGCTTTCCGTATAGGGAAGAAAGGGAGTGGGGCAGGAGGGTGAGTGGGAGACCACCAGCCTTTGGGGCAAAGGGGTGGACTAGATGCCTTTTGGGGTCCCTTTCAAAGCAACTGGAAGGAGACTGGGGGAAAGGTAGGCAAGTAGCACTTCTACCAGGGTGTGTTGGATATTATTATTATTATTATTATTATTATTATTTATTTGTAGCCTGCCCATCTGTCTGGGTTTCCCCAGCCTCCCTGGGTGGCTTCCAACAAAGATTAAGAAACAGTAAAATGTCACACATTAAAAACTTCCCCGAATAGGGCTGCCTTCAGATGTTTTCTAAATGCCAGGTAGTTGTATATCTCTTTGACATCTGATGGCAGGGCATTCCACAGGGCGGGTGCCAGGACCGAGAAGGCCCTCTGCCTGGTTCCCTGTAGCTTTGCTTCTCACAATGAGGGAACCGCCAGAAGGCCCTCGGCACTGGACCTCAGTGTCCAGGCTGAACGATGGGGATGGAGATGCTCCTTCAAGTATACTGGACAGAGCCCTGAATGGCACAGATCGAGAGTTGGGGGCTTTGGCAAATGCTAGTAATTTTAGAGGCGTGAAGACCCCAAGGAAGACCACGGGGAGAACCATCAAGCCCAGAAACTGCAAGATGCAAGGCGGGAGCGTATTCTCTGCATTGCAACCAGCATCGCTTCAGCACCAGTTCCACTCTGTCATGGCTTCCCCTCGAGGAATCATGGGAATTGTAGTTGGGTGTCAAGGCTGGGGGGTCTCTGCTAGAGGTCCCTGCCACCCTCAAAACCACAGGGCCCACAATTCCCTAGAGAGAGGGAAGAGATGTGTCAATCAGTTTAAAATCTGTGCGGTCGAGGCAAGACTATTGTTGGCTCAGAAATGGAAGCAAGAATTCCGACGAAAGAAGAGCGGCAGACGAAATTAATGGACTATGCAGAATTGGATAAAATGACAGGAAGGATTCAAAACCAGCGGGATCAGAGATTGGAAGAAGAATACGAACTATTTGAAGAGCAACTGTAATCAACAAATTACGCTAGTAGGACTACTAGAAGTTTTGTACGGAGGAATATATGAAATATTGCAAAGAAGAGTAAGAAGAGAGACATTAGTTATGAGATTTAAATGTAATAATGAAAATAAGAAATGTCAACCAAGTAAACAGATTTGGAAAATTTTCATATGTGATTGATGGAAGTCAAAAAAGGTCAGCTCCATCCATGAGCCCCACTGCCCCCATTAAATCACCCGATACTTACATCAACCGTGCAAGGGCTCCCGCTGCAAGTAGCTGTAATCTTGAGGTCGCTGGGGAGAATGAGGAATGAGCCACTGTGATGCGAGGCAGAGCCACCCATCCCCTCCCCATCCATTCCCCAACTTTCAATCCCAAGCCAGCCCCAGGTCTCTTTGCAACTTTCAGTCTATAGGGCCTCTTACCTTCCTTGCATTCACAGCCTCAGCCCTGCATCCCTGCTTTCTGAGACAGGCCTCTTCAACACCTGGGGACCTTTCCAGAGCCAGGAAAAGTCAGGTGGCAGTGTGCAGGGAGGAAGAAGCGTCACAGGTGCCCACAAATAAGCCCACCACAGCTGCCCACGAGGGCCTCCATGCACAGTCCCAAGGGACCTAATCCAAACCAGAGGACGGGTCCTTGCATGCATTACCTTATCTCATCCACCGACAACAGCAGCAGTCCTCTTTGGCAGTCAATGGCCAGGTGGAGAATTATTCTCAGTCTCTGAAATTGGGATGCAAAGGTCATCAGAGTCGAACCGTTGGCCAGGGGAGAGCAATCCGGGGAGTTTTAGGATGGAAGAATGAGGAAATCCCGACTAAAGAACAGTGGCAAGAGAAACTGGTGGATTGTGTGGAATTTGCAAAATTGACACACAAACTACGTGAGAAGGAGAACGGTGAGTTTAAAGAAGAATGGGGACCTTTTACGAAGTACCGTATTTTTCGCTCTATAACACGCACCTGACCATAACACGCACATCGTTTTTAGAGGAGGAAAACAAGGGAAAAAACATTCTGAATGAAACAGTGGATGTATCATTTCTGTGCTTCATGCTGTGGCCACAGACATGTGATCTGATGGTGAATTTGGGGTGACCCAATGCAAAAATCCTGATAATTCCTGTGGATCCATGCTTTGTAACCACGTTTTTGCACCATTGCAGCCCCAGGCAACAGTGGGTGCGTGATTTTTTGGGTGCAGGCTGTAGCCATGGACATGCTATGTGATCTGATGGTGAATTTGGGGTGACCCAATGCAAAGATCCTGAGGATCCATGTGGATCCATGCTTTTTAACCACGTTTTTGCACCATTGCAGCCCCAGGCAACAGTGGGTGCGTGATTTTTTTGGTGCAGGCTGTAGCCATGGACATACTATGTGATCTGATGGTGAATTTGGGGTGACCCAATGCAAAGATCCTGAGGATCCATGTGGATCCATGCTTTTTAACCACGTTTTTGCACCATTGCAGCCCCAGGCAACAGTGGGTGCGTGATTTTTTGGTGCAGGCTGTAGCCATGGACATGCTATGTGATCTGATGGTGAATTTGGGGTGACCCAATGCAAAGATCCATGTTGATCTATGCTTTGTAACCACATTTTAAGTGGGGAGCGAAGGAAAAACAAAGAAGGGACATGAGAGGGGTGTGCAGAGAAGCAGCTGGCTAAGAATGCTGGAGAGGGATTTAACGGGTGGGAGGCAAAAGTTCCCCCCCAAGCCAGCCATCTCTCTCTCTCTCCCTCTCCCTCCCCCCTCTCCCTCTCCCTCCCCCACTCTCTCTCCCTCTCCCCCAGCAGTACCGGAGCACAGAGACGACACTTTCCCCTCTGCTTGCCTGGAGGGGAGGGGCTTTCCCTGCTCTTTGTTCCGTTTCAGCAATCACAGCAACGAAACAGAGGAGGGTGGGCAGTAAGACCCTGAGGCAGAATGCAGGAAAGCAACCACTTCCTCTTTTCAGGTTTCCCTTCTCCGTGAAGAGCGATTTGACTTTTGCTTGATTTTTTGGCTCCAGGGACCACACATTCGCTCCATAACACGCACAGACATTTCCCCTTTCTTTTTAGGAGAAAAAATCTGCGTGTTATAGAGGGAAAAATACGGTACTTAAAGAAACAACAAAATGAACTGGACTCCTTGGCAGGTTCGGAATAAACATTCACAAACTCTTTATCGGTAATATACTGATAGATAAATTGAGGATCTTTACAACTCGATAACATGCAGAGTGCTGAAAAAGCAGAGAGAGGAGCTGAGGGAAGTCTGGGGGGGTTCTTTCTAGGGGTGGGGGAGGGGGAAATGGGGGGATGAGGGTGATGTATTTTTGATTAATTGTTGAAATTCCAAATAAAAAATATTTTTTTTAAAAAAAAAAGAGCAATCCGTTTTTTAAGAGACGTAGACAGCTCCGACTCCGTCCAGCTTTGCTCACATCAGATGGAGTCTTGTATCAAACGGCCACTTGCGCTCAGACGCTGCACGTTTCTTTTAAACTGAAATAAGTATGTGCAAAATTAAACGCGAAGCTCAGGTTGCACAGAGGAGTGGCTCGTCTTTCACCAATTTATTGCCTTTCATTTATAGCTGCGTGCTGGTTGCCTTTAGGAACCTAGAGAGCACGGGTGCCTAACAGTTCATCTTTTCAGTACAGCAGGGTGGGGAGATCGGGGGAGACGCACTTCTTGTTGAGACCAAGGAGCAAAACAGGAATGGGGGAGGGAAATAGGTGTAGATAAACTCTTCATTGAGGTTTTCAGAAAATCCCACCCCTGATTTTGGGCTCCTGAAGGGTCACTTGCCCGGTGTTTTTACTTACCGCTGTGAGTTGAAGGAGGCCAACAAACTCTGACTGGGAATAGCCAATATTGATACGCAGCTCAGCATCAAGATAGACATAGTTAGCAGTAAACTGGATGGAGATGCTTGTGCACGAGAACTTCAGCAAAGAAGAAAGATCCTCTGGACAGTCAATCTGTGGGAGAAGAGGGTAGATGTGATCCCTCAGGATCATCTATCCTGGCTCTGGCGCACGTCACCAGTGGGGTGGAAGTTATCAATCCTTTATTACGGTCCAGAGACCGTACAAATCGTTACAAAGCAATGCACAATTCAGACAGCCTACCACCAGGTTAAACAAGCATTTTGTTCCAACTTAAAAATAGGGATCATTGGTTCTTGCAACCACCAATAAAAACTTTGCCACTGCGAATGTTCTAGCATTTGTCCGGTCTTCCAATAGGAACCTGACATAGCGAGCCTCTGATTTTCCCAGGTTTGTGTGCCAGACCAGCAAATCCTGATTCAGCTGGCAGTCCTTCCTGTCCCCATTGAAGCCCCTGAAAACAGCTGCAAAACTGCTCCATAGACAGAGCGGAGAGATGTGCTGGCGACAACACAAGCGCTAGCCAATCGGTTCCCGCTGTGCAGCTTCAGCTGAACCAAGCTGCAAACTTGCAAGGCTGGTTTCCAGAGCTTCTCCTGGGGAGAGGAAAAGGGTATCGTTGTCCTGAACTTGTTGAGGGGTGTTTCCAAAGTGGTCGGTATCGCTCCCAAAATGATGTGTCCACCGCAGGGGGCCAAGAAGCCATTGTGCAACCTTGCCGGCCCATGAACAAATCTCTGAAAATCTCCCCGTCCCCTGACACACCCATCTCACAGCCAAGGAGGATCACGTACCTCAGGGATGTGGCTCTTTATTAAAGTGGTGGTCACAGTCGACTGTGGAAAGAAAATACATCTTGATTATAATGTTCTGCCATGGTCCCCCCCCCGCCCCCCATGCTGAGCTCTGTTCAAAGAGTCAACCAGGAGATTTCTTAAATTAAAAGAAGTATAAGGATTATTTACTAAAATGTTCTAAGATAATATAAGTAGTAATATTTGTCAGTACCAAATTGGCTTGGGAGTTAAATGTTTTAAATTGTATGACACTATGGATAGAAGTGAATATGATAAGAAAGAAAGATCTAAATTGATTAAGTTAATCTTATTGGAAATTAGTATTGGAAAACTGCTACAATGAAATATATGGAAAATCAGCTAGAGGGATTTGAAGAAGTCAACTAACAATGGTAATAAAAGTGGGAGTATAATAGTTAGGATGAATGTTTGTATGTTTGTTTGGTTTTTTATATGTATTTTTTTCTTTTTTGTTTATGTTTGTTATAAATTTGGAAAATCAAGGAAAAAAAATTGGGGGGGAAAGGAGACACTCTGTCTGAACGGATGTCTCCCTGGATACTTAAACTGAGGCTTGAGGTTGTGCGAAGCCGCAGAGAGGGGAAGAAGAAACGGGTGTCCTGTTGCAAATAGCACAGGATACTACCCTTATATTCATGACAGGGGCTGGATCTACATTGATCTTACAGAACGTTATTTTTTAATAATGTTTAGAAGGCTTAATGGCAGTTTCCCACTGTCGGTGACTCTCTGCTCTGCAGCACCCCCTGGTGTCACATTTTAATAAGACATTTTTAACGCTATCAATGACAAGTGTAGAACTGCCCTATGGGGATCATGGCTAATTGTTCTGGGGTTTTTGAAACGGGGGGGGGGTATTGTAGTTGTTCCTTTCTGTATATTCCCCCATTTTTAAAAAAATAACATCTGCTTTGAGATCCAGATGTGAAAAACGGAGAGTGTTTGTGTGGGAAGTAATCCATTGGAGCAGTCAAATTAAACAATCCCTAGAGTGGACACAGACAGGGGGATGTTACCCCAGCCAGTCAAGCTTTCTGTTCCACTGGTCTGGAGCGTCCTCCCTCTGCGTGTGACCTGGGGGATGGGCACAGCCCTGGCTGACTCCATAAAAGAGCCGAGTCACGCAGCCATCTTAAGCTTTCTCTCTCACACACATTCACCTGCTCTCTTGCCTGCTGATCTCTTACTGCAGTGCTGCTCTCCTGCGGCCATTTTGTTCTCTCAATGTAATTTCGCTGTCTGCTGGCTCTCAGCCAGCAGCACAGGAGCTCAATCTCCATGTGAGACGAACTCACAGATTCTTATGTAACTACAGTGGTACCTCTGGATGCGAATGGGATCTGTTCTGGAGCCCCGTTCGCATCCAGAAGCGAACGCAACCTGCGTCCGTGCATCTGCGCACACGTGGGTCACGATTCGCCGCTTCTGCACATGCGCACGATGTCATTTTGACAGTCTGCGCATGCGCGAGCGGCAAAACCCGGAAGTAACGCGCTCCGTTATTTCTGGGTCGCCGCAGCGCACAACCCGAAAATACTTATCCAAAAGCTATTTCAACCTGAGGTATGACTGTACTAGCTAAAGCCTGCCTTTCAGGGATCACATCGTGAACTGAAATGTGAGTAAACATCTTCAAAATAAATTTTAAAATTCTACAGTAGCACCTTAGAGACCAACTAAGTTTTTTCTGGGAATAAGCTTTCACGTGCATGCACACTTCTTCAGATACACTGAAACAGAAGTCACCAGACCCTTATATATAGTGGGAGGGTGGGGTCATCTGCATACTATCCCTTGTTTTTTCCTGTAGGACTAATTGCAGTCGTTAACAGTCATCAACAGGTTTACCATACCCATTGAGTCAATCACCCAATTCCCACTACCCTCCTGAGAAAAACTCCACCCTCCCACTATATATAAGGGTCTGGTGACTTCTGTTTCAGTGTATCTGAAGAAGTGTGACACCAGGAATAATCCCTCTGGGCAAGCCAAATTGGATTACTTAATGTTATGTCCTGAGCTGAATAGGATCCAAAATGCAGCAGTCTGATTGGTCCTAGAACAATAGGATGCAGAATGCAGCAGTCTGATTGGTTCACAGGAGCCACCCAATCCAGCTCCAGGTGGAAGTGAATCTGCAACCTGATTGGCCTATAGGAGTGTTATGTACTGAGTTGAATAGGATCCAAACTGCAGCAGTCTGATTGGTCCTAGAACAATAGGATCCAAAATGCAGCAGTCTGATTGGTCCTAGAACAATAGGATTCAGAATGCAGCAGTCTGATTGGTCCTAGAACAATGCAGCAGTCTGATTGGTCAGCAGGAGCCACGCAATCCAGCTCCAGATAGAAGTGAATCCACAACCTGATTGGCTTACAGTAGAATTCTGGAATTAGCCAATCATGTGCAGCCCATTGTGTAAATAATGTATATAAAGCAGATACTTTGAGGGGACTTCCATTCCTCCTCACCACTATGAGCTGAATAAAGAGCATGAAATCACTTTGCGACTCTGAGTATATTTCAGGGAGAATCCCGAAATTAGCCAATCACGTGGGGCCCATTGTGTATATAATGTATATAAAGCAGACATTCATTCCATTCCTCCTCACCACTATAAGCTGAATAAAGAGCATGAAATCCACTCTTGACTCCAAGTATATTTCACTTAACTAAAGAGATTCAAACAAATCTGCAAAGTAACTTCCTGCTATATTGAAGGGAAGGAAGAATAATACTTAATCAATATAGCCTTTCCTCCTATCCTGACTTTAAGCAGTATGAAGCAGAATATTAATGGCCCAGATGAACAAACTGGCCCCTGAAGCTCTGAATCCCAGGGCTTCAGCTGAATCAGATCAAGCTGCCATCTTTCCACAGGCTTCATATTTCACTGAGCGGGGCAAAAATATCTCTGGTGTTGACCCTCCGACTCAGTGCTTCCTAAAGGTGGTGGAAGCAATTGGGGGGGCAGTAGGATTTGGGGGGGCACTAAGAGGCAAAGGGGCAAAAGGGCACTGGAGGTGTCAGTGACTTCCAGACTCTGAAAAACTGGTAGCCCTGGATCAAGTTGATCAATTCGGCTGCATTAATTAAGCTAAACGAACAAATAAATTGGATTGTGGATAAATGTGCAATTAACTGTTACTGGTTTGGATTTTATTGTGTTATTCTCTTCCTTGGCAGGTTGTGCAAACCGCTGCTCTGAATGATGCTTTTTTTTAATAGGGTAAGGTTAGGGGGCACTGGGGGGTGATCTTGTGGAATCAAGGGGGGCAGTGGGCTCCCCAAAAAAATTGGCGACCACTGCTTCCAGCTTGTTATCAATTGCCCAGGGAAAGGGCCCGCATTGTGCAGAACTCACCAGGGTGACCTCAAGGCTGAACACTTCTCTTGCCCTCAAAGTTGAAAAGATGTTGCCCATGTCAGCTTCGCTATAAGAATAACAGAGGTGTCCGTCAGGAACGAGGGTGGCTGGCGGGTAGTAGATGGGATAGCTGGGCCAGGGAACCACAGCTCCTCCGCAGGACATTTGAGGCTGCAAGGAGAACAAGAGGGGGGAAACTGCAGTCACTGTGATGGCCTGGGATTCGGACTCGGATGCTGAACCTGAGGAATCCCAGCCTGCACTGGATTCCCCGCCTCCACAATCAGATGAGCCAGGGCTGGGGCCTGAGCCTGAAGGGTCCTGACCTGTGCTGGATCCTCAGGTGCAGGCGTCAGCTGACTCTGCTCTGGCTCCTGAGGTGATGGAGGACCCATTGCCTGCAGGTGCTCCACTCTCAGCCCCGTCAGAGGAAGCGGAGGCTGCCTCTGGGTCCGGTAACCCTCCAGCCTCCGGAGTTACAGCAGCTCAGGGCAGAGAGGCGGAGGGAACCCGCAGGAGGTGCTCGCCTCCAGGGCAGGAGAGGCTAGTCACCAGAAGTTCGGGGCCGCCCTATGCCTCGGGGCAGATAAAAGCCGGCCAGCCCCAGTCCCAAGTTGCGGGAGCAACATTGTTGGTTGCAAGTTCCTGCCTGAACCCTGTCCTGCTCTCCTGCCTGAGCTCCTGACCCGCCCTGGCTCCCGGCTTCCATGCCTGTTCCTGACTTCACCCGACTCCCTGCCCTGCACCCAGCTTCAGCTACTACGGACTGTCTCCACGTTGCACCTCTGACCATGGACCGGTCTTGGACCTCGCCTCTTGGGTAACCCACGGGACCAGCACAATCGCCATGAGTCAGCCTGCGCCTGAACATAAGATCTGGAGGCAACATGAAAGTCACTGGCTGGAAAATGACCCAAGGCAGGTTCAGCGGCCTTTCAGAAAGCAGGTGGGAAGGTCAGAGCACCAACTGCTAAAGGAACTGCCAGCCCAGAGAGCAGCAAGCTGAGACTCCTGCGCTGCAGCCGGTTGAACTAGATAACCCTTGTGGCCGGGGCATAGCGTGGGTTGCTGGCACCCGGGATGGGGCAGGTGTTGCAGTCCCCTGGTGGACTGGTCAGTCCATAGCTATCAATGTTTCCCTTTTTTTAAGGGAAATTCCCTTATTCCGAATAGGATTCCTCACAAGAAAAGGGAAAAGTTGACAGCTATGGGTCAGTCCCTTCACCGGCCAGCATCTAATCAAGGGAGTCTCCCCTTGCAAAGCCCTAGGCTCTGTGGTTTAACCCACAGCACCACCCGTGTATGCCTGTACGTAGCTTGATCCTTATTTCGTCATAGTGATTTATCAGTATATTTGCAATGTTTCGCTGGTGATATATCACAATCTTGAAATATCGCCTGGCCCTAATTCTAGCCCTCCCTCCCTGCGCCCATCATTCAGACTGACCCCCTCTGAGCCTGGAACAAGCCTCCTAGAAGATGAAGCCACTCACCACAAAAGGGTGATCAAGGTAGGCAGAGTTGAGTTGAGGCGGATAGGGCCTTGTGCAGATGTACTGGCAGCCTGCGAAGAACGGCGTTGGCTCTGGGGGAGAAAGATCGGGAGTTTTCCAAAGCTGGACCACAAAGCACAGCAGAACAGTAGCCCAAGCCGGGATGCCTGGCAGCTCTTGGGACTGATGGGGCAGGAGGCAGGGAGGCAGGCAGTAGGTGGCGCCAGAGAGCCAATGTCAGGCAGAGGCAACACGGTCTGGTCTCCATCTTGCCCCCTGCTGAGTTCTGCAAGGGATAGCACTGAGACTAAAGAGGGGGGGGCAAGAGGCGGTACCAACCTCTGGGCTAGAAGTACATGAGAAAAATGCTTTTTGAACCAAATGGCCACACCTTTAGCATTCGTCAAAGTATCCGTGAGGTATACCTGTTTCCCCAATACCCATTCATTTTATGACTTGTACCATTTAACAAATATCTAATACAGTGGCACCTCTGGTTGCGAACGGGATCCGTTCCGGAGCCACGTTTGCAACATGAGCAGAACGCAACCCGCATGTGCGCAGGTCGCGATGTGCCACTTCTGCACATGCATGTGACGTCATTTTGCGCGTCTGCACATGCGCGAGCGGTGAAATCCGGAAGTAACCCGTTCCATTACTTCCGGGTCACCGCGGGACGTATCCTGAAGGAACGTAACCTGAACCAAACGTAACAAGAGGTATGACTGTAATGAACTTTTCTATGTTTGAACATTTATCTTATTTTCTAATATCGTTCATAGACATAGAACCTCCATAGGCACTTAGATTAGCATTTGCATTCAATCATATTACATAGGTATAGACTCTATTTCCCAAATAGGAAATATACCTAAAAAGAAAAAAGAAAAATGTGACTAAGTACAAAAAAACAACCCAAGAAGTACAAAAAAAACCCCAAGAAGAAAATAACATTATTTTTTTAAAAAAACTGAAGAATACCCCCCAAAAGAAAAGGAATATAAAGGAAAAGGGGGGGAGCCTCTTTTGAGAACCCAGCTAGCAAGACTAGCAAGACCCGAATATAAGAGTCCTCTTATTCTCCAGAGCCAGTGTGGTGTAGTGGTTAAGAGCGGTAGTCTCCTAATCTGGTGAACCGGGTTCGCTTCCCCCGCTCCTCCACATGCAGTTGCTGGGTGACCTTGGGCCAGTCACACTTCTCTGAAGTCTCTCAGCCCCCTCACCTCACAGAGTGTTTGTTGTGGGGGAGGAAGGGAAAGGAGAATGTTAGCTGCTTTGAGACTCCTGAAGGGGAGTGAAAGGCGGGATATCAAATCCAAACTCTTCTTCTTCTTCTTCTGTTTCCAGCAACTGGGATTCAGAAACATTGATGCCCCCCAACTGTGGAGGCACAGCCATCGGCATCACTGCATCTTGTGCGAGGGAGTTCCACAGTCTAACTAGGCATGGCATAATTAAGTAGTCACTGGATGCAACCAGAGGCCAAGCCACTCGCCTTGCTCCAGGTGACAGTTTACGGGGAGGCTGGACGAGGCAGACTAACTTTTAATTTTAATTTTACGAGCATCAGTGCCAGCCAGACCATTAACTCTCGTTTCGTGATTTCACTCTGAAGTTTGGTAGCTGGGTAGGATGGGAGTCCAGAGACTCGCTGAGGGCTCAATATCAAATGGGTTTACTCTTCCTTTTTTGCCAATTAATCCTATTGTTTTACATCTGGAATGTGGGCGGGGCCGGGGTCATATTCTGTTATTTATTTTGCAAGAATGATATAACGCTTTGCTTTAATGGAAAAAATCTCTTAACCCTTTACATAGAACGGTGTGCAATATCCATTAACAATAGCTTTAAAAACAATGCATTTTTTAAAAAAAACCTGTAAAAATATAACCAAAAAATCAACAGTTTGAAAACGCAAATGCATTGTAGGCTTGCCTAGTGAAAAATGGCTTTAGTGGGTGTTGAAAAAAGTACCGGCCAAGGCATTGATAGGCAGGGAGTTCTGAAGAATAGGGCCTTTCACCCCACCCCCCAAAATCCAAATGACCACTTTTTCCTCTCAAAACCTCTACTTCAAAAACAACAAAAAAAGGAGAATCCCAGGACTGGGAACCAAAGACCTATTTAACGCTAGACTTCATTTTTGACCCTCAGACCATCAGCTTTAGCCTCCTCCCAGGTGACCTCATTCCTAATGCCATTTGTGGTCCTCTGCGTTGGCCAAAACCCATTTGTGTTCATTTTCAGAGCAGAGTTCAGCTACGTTATTGGTTACCGCAGTGGCCCAGTCTGGCCCATCACTGGGTTACTGTGAAGGTGTAGAGCTTTCTGGCTAAATATCATCTTATTGTGCCCATTTAGACATTCTATTCTTTTGCGTACTACTTTGCGATTTTCTTAAAATATCAAAGCGACTCGTGAGTCTTTTAAGTAAACCAGCAGTGCACCCCATTAGCGCTTACGAAGTTGGGAAGCCAATGACGATGTTCAGCTGTATGATTATCTCCTGGGCATGGCCACAAACCTGCAGAAAAAGAGAAGCTCCAGTGGGTCAGAAACTTGGAACTCCCTGCCACTTGAGATCAAGCAGGTCCCTTCATGTACCCTTTTTGAGATCAAGCAGGTGCCTTCATGTACCCTTTTAGATGTGGGATGTGATCCAGTGGAACAGTCAAGTACAACATTACCTGTATTGCTAGAGTGGACATACAGGGGATGACCGTCCAGCCAGTCAAACTTCCTGTTCCTGGTCTGGAGCGTCCTCCCTCTGCGTGTGACCTGGGGGATGGGCACAGCCCTGGCTGACTCCATAAAAGAGCCGAGTCACGCAGCCATCTTCAGCTTTCTCTCTCACACACATTCACCTGCTCTCTTGCTAGCAGTGCTGCTCTCCTGCGGCCATTTTGTTCTCTCAATGTAATTTTGCTGTCTGCTGGTTCTCAGCTAGCAGCACATGACCTGAATCTCCAAGTGAGATGAACTCACAGATTGTTATGTAAATACTAGCTAAAGCCTGCTTTTCAGGGATCAAATCGTGAACTGAAATGTGAGTAAACTTCTTCAAAATAAATTGAAAAGAATTGAAAGAATTGAAGAGAATAAATTGAAAAGAATAAATTGAAAAGAATAAATTGAAAGAATTGATGCTTTTGAATTATGGTGCTGGAGGCGACTCTTGAGAGTCCCATGGACTGCAAGAAGATCAAACCTATCCATTGTGAAGGAAATCAGCCCTGAGCGCTCCCTGGAAGGACAGATCCTGAAGCTGAGGCTCCAAGACTTTGGCCACCTCATGAGAAGAGAAGACTCCCTGGAAAAGACCCTGATGTTGGGAAAGATGGAGGGCACAAGGAGAAGGGGACAAGAGAGGACGAGATGGTGGGACAGTGTTCTCAAGCTACCAGCATGAGTTTGACTAAACTGCGGGAGGCAGTGGAAGACAGGAGGGCCTGGCGTGCTCTGGTCCATCGGATCACAAAGAGTCGGACACGACTAAACGACTAAACAACAACAAGAAAGCATAGATGCAGAAGAGACACCAGATTCGCCTGAAGAGAGCATTGCAGAGGCAGAGGCCTCCGATCAACTGACTTTGCTTCCTGCTTTTTGGAACCGCTTTGTTGATGTGGGGCTGCTAGCAGAGGAAAGATAAAATGCTCTGTGAGACCTACCACAGGATTCATCACAGGGGCCAGCATTTTCGCCACTACTGGCAGCTGCAAACTACAAAAGAAGAAGAAGAAGAAGGAATTAAGTTAGCAGAGAGGTTCTTTGGAATCCTGCTCCTCTTTCCTTTCTTCATATTCTGTTGTTATTGTTCATTTCATTTATGCATCGCTTCCCATAATTGCAACTGAACCAGCCCCCCGGCAGAGATCCCCCTTGTGCCCTGCCAGCAGGGGGTGCTGGAGAGCATGGAGGGTGAAGATCAGATCCTGCTCCTCACGGCCGGCCCAGCAGCTCTGGCAGAAAGTGGGTTAGGGTTGGGTTGCAATGCTGCTGCGCCCTCTCCAGGACTGGGGAGTTGGAGTGAGCCCCTGCCCCACTGCTGCAACGGGCTCCCTCCACACCACACCCCTGGGGGGGGGGCGCCTTGCGGACCCCACCTGGGCAGCATTTTCATGCACTCCACCCCTGCATGGAAGCTGTAGCCCTTTGCTTTTCTGGATCTTTCTTCTTGGACAATCCCTCGTAGCCGAGGAAGATTGTCTTCCATAAACACAGTTTGACCAGTGAGCCCGTAAGTGACTGTGGAGGCCAGTTCTGGACCCACACCTCCTTCCACAGTGGAACATGCTGCTATCCTAGATCTGGTGACAGACTTGGCTGGAATCTCACACACCTTTGACGGCTCAGGGCATTTCCCCTTGTTGTGGGGAAGAGAGGCGCTCGACCCACCCCCGCCTGTCCCGTCCCCCCGCCAAGGAAAGGAAGTTGCACATCACCTACTCGAACAGTGGGTCTACTTTGACTTCCACGTACTCCGAAGAGCAGCTGCCGAAGCTCAGCCCCAAAGGTACCACCATCAGCTGGATGGTAGCACAAAATGCGACGCGCACTGTGAGCCTAAGCAGAGAGGAGAGGAAGGTCAGTTGCTATCCATCCCTGATTCGAGAGGCGAGGCCGAAACGAGGGCACTATGGCCGCTGCCACCACCCCAGACGAGGCACGGCTCAGTGGCCAGGCGTGCGCTCTGAACACAAATGGTCCCGGGTTCAAATATTGGCATCTTCAGATAAGACTGGAGAACTTCTGCCAGTAATGGAGCAGAATCAGATTTAGGGCATTGCCGGTGGTTCCTCCGCGCAGGTTGCCCAGCCAAGGGGGCACAGAATTGTGCAGATCTGTGATGGAGAAGATCCATTTGGGGCAGCCAAATTTGGGGCTTGCACAGGGCGCCATATTACAAAAGAATACCCCCCCCCAAAAAAAATATATATATATAAAGGGCTTAATTTGAGTCAAGAGTGCAGAACTATCCAAGTCCGTTAAACACACAAGCCAATATTTGCAGCCTATTAAAGTGCTCAAGGAAATGGAATCTGTAAAATATAGCCACTAATTTTACTCTTCGGTTTAATTTGCATGCAAAAGCCAGGAAAATGTCATTAGAAATGCTCCTCTAGACAAAGGCGAGAAACTTCAAACATTTTTTTATTCCCTTCTCTTCTGCTCAATATTTCTTAGATAGATAGATAGATGATAGATGAGAGAGAGAGAGAGAGAGAGAGAGAGAGAGAGAGAGAGAGAGAGATGATAGAGAGATATAGCTAGAGATACAAAAGATATACAAAAATACAAACCCACAGCAAAGTATCTTTTTATAATATACGGAATTAAAACAGCTACTTAATTGGGAAAAAAGAACAAAGGCAGAAAGAACGAAAAGAAAGGCCTTAAGAGAAAGAGAAAGAAGAGAACGATGGCCATATTATGAAGGTCCACCCAGAGCGCAGACAGCATGCAGTTAGATGACCAGGCAAAAAGCAGCTCCCGATGTTCCTATGCGCCCTTAGCCATGCTGTCAGGGGATGATGTGGAATGACAAGTCATCTGGAGAGCCACCCTCCCATCTGATTTTTCTTTAGCGCTCTTAAATGCAAGACAGAGGATGTCATGAGTCAGGCCATGTGTTCCTTTCACTCATTCTCCTGCATATTCCATCTTGGCGTGTAGAGATGTTCCTTCACTTGCCTACTGACCAAAGGCCAGGTCTGCCTTTGTTGAACAGCCCCTTTTCACCTCTGAGGTTCCCTTTCCCACCCAGCCAGAACAGACTGGCCCCTTATGCCCAGCAGGCGCCAAGGGAACAGCAAGAGCTTTTTTGGACCGGAAGGGGGTGTCAAGAGATCAGCACCCCCCTGTCCTCAAACCACAGAGGTCACGGTCAAGGGGAGAGTCCTGCCGTGCGCGAGCAGCCGGGGAGAGCGGGCACAAAGGCTTTTGCGGTTTTGTCTTTGCAACTCTCGGCAACGAAGGGTCTCCCAAATCTGCCCAGCAACCCGGGATGCATCTTACTCACAGCAAAGAGCACTTGATCTGGACCACGAAGCACACAACCACGTCCACGCCATAGGGCGGCCTGAAAACCACGCTCACACGCTCACACATCAGGACATCGAAATGGCAGCTGCAGAAATGGAAAAGGAGCTGTTAGGAGGGGGCTGAGCAGCGCCAGCCGAAGTCTCCACGACCCAAGGCAAACACGCTCCTTGTGACACAACCCTTTGCCAGCCATTTCCATTGCGGCCAAGGGCTCTTCCGGCTGTGGTCATCGCAAGCTCCGGTGTGTCAACATTTACTGCTCTGCAACTGCGTGTGACCATCAAAAGCAAAAAGGGAAGGAGACTGCCCAAGTATTGGGGTCTTGGGTTTTTTACCCCCCATGCAGATATATGCACCTTTGAAGCAATTCGTTAAGAGATACGGGCCACATGAACTCCTGCAATGATTTTGCAAAGTTTTTTGCAGTTAAAGTCGCTCAGCTTCGGGAAGAGGTAGACGCCACCGTGGGAGCAGGGCCGGGGCGGGAGAGTGCTAGAGTCCTGTCTAGTCAAATTGCATGGGATCAGTTCCAATCTGTTACCTCCGAGGATGTGGACAGGCTGCTTGGACGAGTGAAATCAACCACCTGTCTCCTGGATCCTTGCCCATCCTGGCTTATAAAAGCTAGCTGGGAAGGGCTGGGCAATGGGCTTCGTGGGGTGGTGAATGTTTCTCTCTGTGAGGGAGCCTTCCCAGACCCGCTGAAAGAGGCGGTTATTAAACCGGTTCTTTAAAAACCACCTTTAGACCCAGCCAACTTGGCCAACTATCGCCCAGTCTCAAATCTTCCATTCTTGGGCAAGGTGATTGAGTGAGTGGTTGCTGAACAACTCCAGGCACGCCTGGAAGAAGCGGACCATTTGGATCCCTTCCAGTCGGGATTCAGGCCTCATCATGGGACTGAAACTGCCTTGGTTGCACTGGTTGATGATCTCCCGTGAGCTAGGGACAAAGGTGAGAGCTGTTTCCTAGTTCTGCTGGATCTCTCAGCGGCTTTTGATACCATCGACCAAAGCATCCTTCTGGACCGTCTAGAGGGGCTGGGAGCTGGGGGCACTGTCATACAGTGGTTCCGCTCCTTCCTCCTGGGCCGTGTTCAGAAAGTGGTGGGGGGGGATGAGTGTTCAGACCCCTGGGCTCTCACTTGTGGGGTGCCTCAGGGTTCTGTCCTCTCCCCCATGCTTTTCAACATTTACATGCAGCCGCTGGGAGAGATCATCAGGAGGTTTGGGCTGGGTGTTCACCAGTATGCGAATGATACCCAGCTCTACCTCACTTTTAAATCAGAACCAGTGAAGGCGGTGAAGGTCCTGCGTGAGTGTCTGGAGGCGGTTGGAGGATGGATGGCAGCTAACAGATTGAGGTTGAATCCTGACAAGACAGAAGTACTGTTTTGGGGGGACGAGGTGGGCAGGTGTGGAGGACTCCCTGGTCCTGAATGGGATAACTGTGCCCCTGAAGGACCAGGTGCGCAGCCTGGGAGTCATTCTGGACTCACAGTTGTTCATGGAGGCACAGGTCAATTCTGTGTCCAGGGCAGCTGTCTCCCAGCTCCATCTGGTACGCAGGCTGAGACCCTATCTGCCTGCAAACTGTGTCACCAGAGTGGTGCATGCTCTAGTTATCGCTCACTTGCACTACTGCAATGCGCTCTACGTGGGGCTCCCTTTGAAGGTGACCCAGAAACTACAACTAATCCAGAATGCGGCAGCTAGACTGGTGACTGGGAGCCGCCGCCGAGACCACATAACACCGGTCTTGAAGGACCTACATTGGCTCCCAGTACGTTTCCGAGCACAATTCAAAGTGTTGGCGCTGACCTTTAAAGCCCTAAACGGCCTCGGTCCAGTATACCTGAAGGAGCGTCTCCACCCCCATCGTTCTGCCCGGACGCTGAGGTCCAGCGCTGAGGGCCTTCTGGCGGTTCCCTCGCTGCGAGAAGCCAAGTTACAGGGAACCAGGCAGAGGGCCATCTCCGTAGTGGCGCCCTCCCTGTGGAACGCCCTCCCACCAGATGTCAAAGAGAAAAACAACTACCAGACTTTTAGAAGACATCTGAAGGCAGCCCTGTTTAGGGAAGCTTTTAATGTTTAATAGATTACTGTATTTTAATATTCTGTTGGAAGCCGCCCAGAGTGGCTGGAGAGGCACAGCCAGATGGGTGGGGTATAAATAAATTATTATTATTATTATTATTATTATTATTATTATTATTATTAAGCATCTGATTAATTGGCAAAGTTCTATTCAGGTGGGTGACAGCCATTGTTTTAGAAACCAATGGTTCCCAAAATGGGCAGTATTTGTAGGAATGTTTATAGATGCTAGGAGAGGATCTATTTATCAGATATTATCCTTCCTTGCTCACATTTGTGAGTTCAGCAGAGTGCCATCCCTTTACAGTTTAAAAGAGAAGCTTTGATAGGCTAGCTTTAGCCTTGTAGTTTAAGTAATCCAGGATGCTTTAAGGCAGGCTGGATTCTCCTGGGTCTCTCTTCTTAAGAGACTCTACTGGCATCCATCAATAATCAATTCTGGGCCCATAGTCTTTGTACGGATATGTATAGATGCTAGGAGAGGGACTGCCACCAGGGGGCAGTGGGATTACCCAGGGTGGGGCGCTAAGAGGCAAGGAGGTGCTGGGGGGGCACTGGAGTTGCAAAAGACTTATCAGACTTTGAAAATCTGGCATCACTGGATAACATTCATCCATTTGATTGAACAGCTTCATTTGGATTTTGAATAAATGTACAAGCCCCCATGAGAGTTTTGAATTTCACTGAGTTGTTCTTCTCAGTAGGCCATGCAAACCACCATTCTGAATAAGGCTTTCTAGAGGGTAAGGTAGGGGGCATTGGGGATGGGTTTCTGGAACCAAAGGGGCAGTAGCCCCCAAAAGTATGGGGACCACCGATTTAGACGAAGCGTGTGGATTACAGCATGTGAGGAGGTCTGAGCTGTTTGCTCCGGTCGCATGGCTTTAACCAGCTTCTTTTGTTTCAGAAAGAATGGAGTCTGAAACTAGCTTTTCTCTCCTCTACTTCTACCTTTTATAACTAAACAACATTTTAAACTGCCTGTGCATCTTTACTGACTGCTGTATGGAAAAGCACATGAACCTGACCTTTGGACAGTTTGTAAGTAAAGCACTTTATGACTTACCGGACATGTGGCCTCTCTCTGTGCAAGGGAAGTGGGATAGCTTGGGGAAAGCTTTTAAAAGGGGACATTGTGCGAATCACCAGAAGGACACATTTGAAAGGTTTCACAGCCTAGATTTCTACACTTCTCTTTGCTGCGTGTTTTGCCATGCTACATCTCTGCTGGAGCGTCTTCTCACCAAAGAGCGCTTGCCCCAAACTTGGGTCTTGGCTTCCAGAATTCCAAGAGAAAAAAGAACCCGGAGCAACTTGGAGAGTGGAACTTGTCTCCCATAAAAGCATCTAAACTAATGACTTCCCTGCAGGAAAATCGTTACTCACCCAACCAGACCAGGAAGGGCGGGGACAGGGAGCTGTTGGATAGGACCTTGCAGGAATTGCCCCCAGTATTTTTTTGTGGAACGGCAATCTGTAAAGACAACACAAAGAGGAGATTATTGGAGAAGGGAGAGGCAAGGACCAGGTTCTTCAATGCCCTGGAACAAGCCAGGGTTGGTGCAAGCCAGCAGTCTTCCACCTTCAGCACTGGGAAAGTCGTGGCCGTGAGAAAAGTTTGTTTATTTCAGTAATTCAACTGAAAAGCTGAAACTAATATATGAAGTAGACTCATGACATGCAAACCGAGATATGTCAAGCCTTTATTTGTTATAATTGTGATGATCATGGCGTACAGCTATTTGCAATCCTTGTTTTGCTGATTTCATTTAATATTCTAATTTTCTGAGATTGTTTATTTGGGGTTTTCATCAGCTGTACACCATGATTCATCACAATTATAACAAAGAAAGGCTTGACATATCACGCTTTGCATGTCTATCTCATACATTAGTTTCACCTTTTAAGTTGAATTACTGAAATTAAAGAACTTTTCTACGATATTCTAATTTTCCGTGTTTCACCTGTATATAAAGCTGTATAAAAAAATTAAAATCAGAGGCCAGCTAGCTCTTACAGAAAGATGCCATTCTTAATTGCCTGCACAAGCCTGATGGAATAATTGCAAAAGGTTTCAGCAGGCACCTGGAAGTTGGAACGTCTGGCTGAGCCTTGCCCACCTGGGAAGGGAACCCATCTAGGAGAAGGAAAGCGCTCATCCTAAACCTCCACTGCCTTGCAGGGCATCTTTGGGAGAAGAAAAGGCTCCAACACGTTGGTCTGCTTTCCTCTGGACCGCATCAGTGGGGCCTCAGGCCATCCCAGGACCTCCAAACACACTGCCCAGGCTTGTCCCCCAGAGAGGTCACTTTGGTGCTGCTAGTGTAGCAGTTGGACTTCACCCCCGGAGGCACACTCCAATGTCTCTGAAGACAGACAGATGCCAGCCACAACCCTATAGATGCCACACAGCTCCAGAATGTCTTAAAGGTCGTAGCTGGTGGTGCACAAGGAAGGAATCCCAGGAAAGGTGCAGGCCTAAGAACTCTCTGTGCCCTCGCAAGACTACACTTCCCCTGGTTCTCTGAGGGAGGGGAGGAAGGCAAGGAACCATGTCTGGAACCTGTTCATATGGGTTGTTGTTGCATCCAAGAAACACACCAAGCGTTGAGCTACCTGGGGGTTTTCTGCAAAATAAATAAATGGTTGGCTTGGGGATTTTAAGTGGCACATCTGCAGGAAGGGCAGCTTCACTTACAGTCTTCCAGCCCGGTTTGAGAGACTCTGCAGCCACTGATGCCCAAGGCGCCATGGAAGGAGAGGACGACACTCAGAAGGGCGACGCTCAGAAGAACAGTCTGGGCCATGGCGGCTTCTGCAGCAACCTGGAGAAAGAGAGGCAGCCAAAATGCATCAAAGGGCTTTGTCTGGCCTCCTTCATTAAAGCAGCACGTCTCTAGCTCACAATTCTTCTAAGCAGAAACTTAAAGACCAGGTGCAGGTTTTTATGGGGTCTGCCTTTGAGCTGGTCCATACTGATGCTTCAAAGCATGGGTAGGCAGAGTAAGACCCGGGGGCCGGATGTGGCCCAATCACCTTCTAAATCTGGCCAGCAGACCGTCTGGGAATATGCGTGTTTTTACATGAGTAGTATGTGTGCTTTCATTTAAAATGCATCTCTGGGTTATTTGTGGGGCATAGGAATTCGTGCATTTATTATTATTTTTCAAAATATAGTCTGGCCCCCCCCACAAGGTCTGAGGGACAGTGGACCCAACCCCTGCTGAAAAAGTTTGCTGACCCTGCTTCAAAGTGTCAGTCTCGCTTGCATATTGATATTTAGAAAAGCCACTGTGGCCCTTCATGACCTTCTGGAATTCTTACTACAGTGGTGCCCCGCAAGACGAATGCCTCGCAAGACGGAAAACCCGCTAGATGAAAGGGTTTTCCGTTTTTGAGTTGCTTCGCAAGATGATTTTCCCTATGGGCTTGCTTCGCAAGACGGAAACGTCTTGCGAGTCTTGCGATTTTTTTCGCTTCCCCCCTTTTTCTAAGCCGCTAATCCGCTAATAGCCTTTTAGCCGCTAAGCCGCTAAGCCTTTAATAGCCACTAAGCCGCTAATAGCCTTTTAGCCGCTAAGCCGCTAAGCCTTTAATAGCCGCTAAGCCGCTAATAGCCTTTTAGCCACTAAGCCGCTAAGCCTTTAACAGCCGCTAAACCGCTAATAGCGCTAATCCGCTAAGCCGCTAATAGGGTTGCTTCGCAAGACGAAAAAACCGCTAGACGAAGAGACTCGCGGAACAGATTATTTTCGTCTTGCGAGGCACCACTGTATATTTGTAACCTTTATGCTGTTGGACTTTCTGGATCAAACTGATGACTATTTTGACATGCAGCATATACGGTATTAATAATGCAGAGTTTTAAAGAATACAGTGGTACCTCGGGTTACATACGCTTCAGGTTGCAGACTCCACTAACCCAGAAATAGTGCTTCAGGTTAAGAACTTTGCTTCAGGATGAGAACAGAAATCGCGCGGCGGCAACAGGAGGCCCCATTAGCTAAAGTGGTGCTTCAGGTGAAGAACAGTTTCAGGTTAAGAATGGACCTCCAGAACTAATTAAGTACTTAACCCGAGGTACTACTATAAAAGCTTTACTGAATTAAAATAAACTTCTTCATAAACAACATGGTTCCAAACAGTCTGACTGAGATTACATACAGTGGTGCCTCGCAAGACGAAATTAATCCGTTCCGCGAGTCTCTTCGTCTTGCAGTTTTTTCGTCTTGCGAAGCAACCCTATTAGCGGCTTAGCGGATTAGCGCTATTAGCAGTTTAGCGGCTTAGCGGCTATTAACGGCTTAGCGGCTTTAAGAAAAAGGAAACAAACTCGCAAGAACTCGCAAGACGTTTCGTCTTGCGAAACAAGCCCATAGGGAAATTCGTCTTGCGGAACGACTCAAAAAACGGAAAACCCTTTCGTCTAGTGAGTTTTTCGTCTTGCAAGGCATTCGTCTTGCGGGGCACCACTGTACTGACTCTGCTCACAACTGTGGCAGACTGACATTGACTGACATCTTACAGAGAACACAAAAGAGAAACTGGCTACTAAGTCCCATGACAGAGTGACTCCACACTTAGCAGTCAGGCCTGGAGAACTTGACTCGGCCCAATTGACTGGGCAGGCCCAGCACTTCCCCGCCTGCTTGGCTGCTTCGGCTCTCAGGTGTCTTTGTCACATGACATATTTGTCTAGCAATCAACAATAAAGCCTGTCTTATTCCTGACTTGCTGTTATATACAGTGGTACCTTGGGTAACAGACGCTTCAGGTTACAGACTCGGCTAACCCAGAAATAGTACCTCGGGTTAAGAACTTTGCTTCAGGATGAGAACAGAAATCGCACCGCGGCGGTGTGGCAGCAGCAGGAGGCCCCATTAGCTAAAGTGGTGCTTCAGGTTAAGAACAGTTTCAGGTTAAGAACGGACCTCCGGAACGAATTAAGTACCGATACTTAACCTGAGGTACCACTGTACTGAGTTGAATAGGATTCTGAATGCAGCAGTCTGATTGGCCCTAGAACAATAGGATCCAGAATGCAGCAGTCTGATTGGTCCTAGAACAATAGGATCCAGAATGCAGCAGTCTGGTTGGCCCTAGAACAATAGGATTCAGAATGCAGCAGTCTGATTGGTCCTAGAACAATAGGATCCAGAATGCAGCAGTCTGGTTGGCCCTAGAACAATAGGCTCCAGAATGCAGCAGTCTGATTGGTCCTAGAACAATAAGATTCAGAATGCAGCAGTCTGATTGGTCCACAGGAGCCACCCAATCCAGCTCCAGGTGGAAGTGAATCCGCAACCTGATTGGCCTACAGGAGAATTCCGGAATTAGCCAGTCATGTGCAGCCCGTTGTGTAAATGATGTATATAAAGCTGATACTTTGGGGAAACTTTCATTCCTCCTCACCACTATGAGCTGAATAAAGAGCATGAAATCCACACTCGACTCCGAGTAGATTTCACTTGCGAATCAGGATACGGCTTGCTTTCCCCAAAATGTAAGGTTCACCCTCTTCACCTGAAACTTATCTTTGTGTAGGCATACAGTGGTGCCTCGCAAGACGAAATTAATCCGTTCCGTGAGTCTCTTCGTCTTGCGGTTTTTTCGTCTTGCGAAGCATGGCTATTAGCGGCTTAGCGGCTATTAACGGCTTAGCGGCTTTAAGAAAAAGGAAACGAACTCGCAAGAAGCAAGCCCATAGGGAAATTCGTCTTGCGAAACGACTCAAAAAACGGAAAACCCTTTCGTCTAGCGAGTTTTTCGTCTTGCGAGGCACTCGTCTTGCGGGGCACCACTGTAATGGCAATTTGCAAGAAGCAGGCATTAAATGGTGCATTTCAAAGGAAACTTGCAATGTCCTTTGCACAAGTTAGCAAGGAGGGAATTGGAGTCCAGCGTGGGTGCAGGAGCTAGCTGGGCTGTGGGAGGTTTCTGTATCATGGAAAACTTTAATTTAAATAATTTCACATGCAAAAAAGCAGGGCGGCAGTGATACAGACCATTTGGATCCCTTCCAATCGGGATTCAGGTCTCACCATGGGACTGAAACTGCCTTGGTCGCACTGGTTGATGATCTCCGGCGGGCTAGGGACAAAGGTGAGAGCTGTTTCCTAGTTCTGCTGGATCTCTCAGCGGCCTTTGACACCATCGACCATAACATCCTTCTGGACTGTCTAGAGGGGCTGGGAGCTGGGGACACTGTCATACAGTGGTTCCGCTCCTTCCTCCTGGGCCGTGTCCAGAAAGTGGTGGGGGGGGATGAATGTTCAGACCCCTGGGCTCTCACTTGTGGGGTGCCTCAGGGTTCTGTCCTCTCCCCCATGCTTTTTAATATCTATATGAAGCCGCTGGGAGAGATCATCAGGGGGTTTGGACTGGGTGTTCATCAGTACGCAGATGACACCCAGCTCTACCTCTCCTTTAAATCAGAACCAGTGAAGGCGGTGAAGGTCCTGTGTGAGTGCCTGGAGGCGGTTGGAGGATGGATGGCGGCTAACAGACTGAGGTTGAATCCTGACAAGACAGAAGTACTGTTTTTGGGGGACAGGGAGCGGGTTGGTGTGGGGGATTCCCTGGTCTTGAATGGGGTAACTGTGCCCCTAAAGGACCAGGTGCGTAGCCTGGGAGTCATTTTGGACTCACAGCTGTCCATGGAGGCGCAGGTTAACTCTGTGTCCAGGGCAGCTGTCTACCAGCTCCACCTGGTACGCAGGCTAAGACCCTACCTACCCGCGAACTGTCTCGCCAGAGTGGTGCATGCTCTAGTTATCTCACGCTTGGACTACTGCAATGCGCTCTACGTGGGGCTACCTTTGAAGGTGACCCGGAAACTGCAATTAATCCAGAATGCGGCAGCTAGACTGGTGACTGGGAGTGGCCGCCGGGACCATATAACACCGGTTCTGAGAGACCTGCATTGGCTCCCAGTACGTTTCCGAGCACGATTCAAAGTGTTGGTGCTGACCTTTAAAGCCCTAAACGGCCTCGGTCCTGTATACCTGAAGGAGCGTCTTCACCCCCATCATTCAGCCCGGACACTGAGATCCAGCGCCGAGGGCCTTCTGGCGGTTCCCTCATTGCGAGAAGTGAGGCTACAGGGAACCAGACAGAGGGCCTTCTCGGTAGTGGCGCCCGCCCTGTGGAACGCCCTCCCATTAGATGTCAAAGAAATAAATAATTACCTGATATTCAGAAGACATCTTAAGGCAGCCCTGTTCAGGGAAGTTTTTAATATGTAACGCTGTACTGTTTTTAACACTGATTGGGAGCCGCCCAGAGTGGCTGGGGAAACTCAGCCAGATGGGCGGGGTATAAATAATAAATTATTATTATTATTATTATTACAGTGGTACCTCGGGTTACATACGCTTCAGGTTACAGACTCCGCTAACCCAGAAATATTACCTGGGTTAAGAACTTTGGTTCATGATGAGAGCAGAAATCGTGCTCCAGTGGCGCGGCAGCAGCGGGAGGCCCCATTAGCTAAAGTGGTGCTTCAGGTTAAGAACAGTTTCAGGTTAAGAATGGACCTCCAGAACGAATTAAGTACTTAACCCGAGGTACCACTGTACTGATGTTGAATACAATGTCCCTATTTTCACCTGAGGACTGTAGGAGGGAATGGGCGTGGTGATTAGAGTGTCAGACTGAGACCTGGGAGAGACCAGGTATGAAACCTTGAGCTCTTTAGAGGGTAAATACTGCAAAATAAAGGAAGAAAATAAGACAGACAAAAGAAGGAGAGGTTTTGTTTTCATGGGGGAACAACCCGCAACCTCGGACACGGGGGAGCCTTTAAGCTCAGACTTGTGCCTGGAAAGAGCAGAGCTAGAGGCCATAGCTGTCAACATTTCCCTTTTTTAAAGGGAAATTCCCTTATTCCGAATAGGATTCCTCGCAAGAAAAGGGGAAAGTTGACAGCTATGGCTAGAGGCAAGTGTGGGTGAGCCCTGGGTCTTGACAGTCTCCAAGATGAGGTTGATCTCAACAGGGTCTGCAGCTTGGCTGTGCCTGTCTGTTAGGGATATTCCTCCACTGAGCAGGAGCTTAGACTAGATCTTGGGACACGGGTGGCGCTGTGGGTTAAACCACAGAGCCTAGGGCTTGCCGGTCAGAAGGTCGGCGGTTCGAATCCCTGCGACGGGGTGAGCTCCTGTTGTTCGGTCCCTGCTCCTGCCAACCTAGCAGTTCGAAAGCACGTCAAAGTGCAAGTAGATAAATAGGTACCGCTCCAGCAGGAAGGGTAAATGGTGTTTCCGTGCGCTGCTCTGGTTCACCAGAAGCGGCTTAGTCATGCTGGCCACATGACCCGGAAGCTGTACGCCGGCTCCCTCGGCCAATAAAGCGAGATGAGTGCCACAACCCCAGAGTCGGTCACGACTGGACCTAACGGTCAGGGGTCCCTTTACCTTTTTTAGGTTCAGCCTGGAGAAGAGGAGACTTGAGAGGGGACAAGAGAACGGCTGTCACACAGAAAACGGAGCAGGAATTGTTTTCTCCTGCCCCAGAGAGGAGGACCAGGACCGATAGATTCAAATGACAAGACTCAACATCAGGAAGGACTTTCTGGCGGTAAGAGCTGTTCAGCAGTGGAATGGACTTACTTGGAAAGGGCTCCCTTCACTGGAGGTTTCTAATCAGAGGTTGGATGAGCACCTGTGAGAGATTCCTTAGCTGCGATTCCTGCATTGCAGGGGGTGGGACATGCAATGGCTCCTGGGGGATCCTTTCCAAAGCTACAGATCTATGATTGTGCAATCTAACACAAGACCCCCTTTCCGGGTATATTACACCTGTGAAATTAGCTAAAATGTATAAGACAAGTGTCAGAGTTGCCCCTGGTCCCAGCTCACAAAGGACCAACGCCAGTTCCTCTTTATATACAGAAGTCTTTATTGAAGTTCATTATTGGTTTGACAGCCGTGGCGCGCAGCCCTACGTCTGAAACCCTAGATCGTCGAAGCTCCGTCTGAGTCTCCTCCCCCCAGACACCAGTTTAAGACCCTAGCCTTGCTCCACCTCTTCCTCTGCTCCCTTTTCCTCTGGGTCCGCCTGTCCACCGGGGTTTTCCCCTTTCTGGACTCTTCTGACGCTGACTCCCCCGAGTCTTCCCCCTCCCTCCGGCGGGCTTTAGGACCTGGTTCCCAATCCGGGCTTTCTGCTGTCCCGCGCGCCTGTACATTTGAACTTGGCGCGCGCGCCCAGCCTGCCACCTTCCTTCTGACCGTTATATTGCTCCTGTCGCTGCTTGCCGGAGGAGACGCTGACTCTGACCTATGAGACTCTTCCCCCCCACTACGCTCCGGTGGGGAAGCTGGCCCTGATTTCCAGCTACTGCTCTGGGAGTCTCCGCTGGCCCCCTGCTTCTGGTGTGTCCCCCCTGGGACCCCCCTTGCCCTGGCCATCGGCGCCCCCTTTTGGGAATCTTCTGATTCACTGGAGAGGCTCATGGAATCTCTCGGGTCACTGTCATTCTGCCCTCCGCTGCCCTCAGATTCTTCCCCTTCGCTCTCCATTTCCTCTCTCCCCTGCGCCTCTGCTCCTGAGCCCCTGACAACAAGTAATAAGTGTTGGAAATGTAAAGAAAAAGAAGAAGGAACATTTTCTCATATGTGGTGGGAATGTAAGAAAGTAAAAATCTTCTGGGAAATGATATATAATGAGTTGAAAAAGATGTTGAAATATACCAGAAGCATATTTTTTTTTGTATTATAGGTGAAGATATCAATAGGCAAGCTGTTAAATTGTTTTTATATGCAAGAACAGTGGCAAGAGTATTGTTAGCCCAGAAATGAAGGCAAGAAGAAATTCCGACGAAAGAAGAATGGCAGACAAAATTAATGGACTACGCAGAATTAGATAAAGTGATAGGAAGGATGTAAAAAATGGTGTAAGGAATGAAAGTATGTTTAATTACTGTTGAAAATGATATGTTGAAAAATTAATTTAAAATTATATTTAAAAAAAGAAGACCCCCTTCCAAGTCTACCCCACCACTTCATCTCGAATCACCCCTCCTCCCAGTCTCCTTACCTTCTGTTGCTGGTTGATCTGGGCTGGGTGGTTGGTGGCTGCCTTGGACAGCCCTCCAACAGGTGGCAAAAGGTGTGCATTATATAGACCAGTAAGGCAGGGCCAGTGGAGCCTAAAATTAGGGAAGGCGTGGCCAAAATAATAGCTCGGAGAGAGGGGTTGCGCTGCAAAGAGCCAAGCCACTTCAGACTGTGAGAAAAGGTTGAATGTGCTCCTTAGCTAGGAACAGGCCATTCAGACCAGGAGCAGCCTGGCTGGTGCACAACATGGGCTCTGAACTCAATGCTTGTTGAGTGTGCTGTCTTTGGTGAGCTTAGGGGGAGAGAGAGAGAGAGAGAGAGAGAGAGAGAGAGAGAGAGAGAGAGGAAGAGAGAGAGAGAGAAGGAAGAAGAAGAAGAAAGAAAGAAAGAAAAGTCAGGGGTTTTTTTAACAAGTTTCCTCCCCCAAGTTCTACAGGTTGTTTGGCTGCTATCTGCAAAATACATTTCTATCCATTAAGCCTGAAAATACGTTATTTTTCAGCTTCCAGTTTGATGTCATTTGTTCTAGATAAGAATCAGCAGCAGTTTAACTCTGAGGTGGCATCACCAAGCGCTGAAAGTGTGACGAACAGAGGCAGGGAAGAGCTTCCATTAATTCCTTAGTTAAAGGCAAACCTATAGAATCCGCGCTTTCCAAGACAATGCGCAAACAGAAAGGCTGGAGCCAGCCTCTGGAATTCGCACTTTCCTGACTGTTGCAGTGCTGTTTGCCAGCCCAGGGATGTGCACAAAAACAAATATACCAGGGCAAGCGGTGCATAAAAATGCATGCAGTTGTAAAAACAACATGCAAAAAAATATATTAATGCACAGTGGGAGAAACTGACACTAAAAGGTTGATGTATTTTCATGAGGACTTAAAAAAAAGATCGCATGGAAATGCACACAAATGAACTCAAGACTGAAAAGTCGGAAAGATTCACTCATCCCTGATTACATACAGTGGTACCTCAGGTTAAGAACTTAATTCGTTCCGGAGGTCAGTTCTTAACCTGAAACTGTTCTTAACCTGAAGCACCGCCGCCGTCCAATTTCTGTTCTTATCCTGAAGCAAAATTCTTAACCTGAGGTACTTTTTCTGGGTTAGCGGAGTCTGTAACCTGAAGCACCTGTAACCCGAGGTACCACTGTATTGTATATTTACAGACCTTTTGTGTTTATATATAGTTTTAATTCTATTAATGTTTAGCTGTTTTTTAATGTTTGGGTTTTCCCCCCGGGGCGGAGGAAGGGGGGGTGTCAGAGCTGCCTCCAGGTCCCAGCTCACAGAGGACCAACGCTAGCCGGTAGTAATGTACAAAAGTCTTTATTGAAGTACAGTTTCCATTTTCAAGCCGCAGCGCGCAGCTCTACGTCTGAGAAGCTAGACCGGCGAAGCTCCGTCTGAGTCTCCACCCCCTGTACACCAGTTTAAGACTCTAACCTTACTCCACCTCTTCCGTCTCTCCTTTCTCCTCTGGGTCCTTCTGCCCCCCGGGGTCTCCTCCTTTCTGGACTCTTCTGACGCTGACCCCCCTGACTCCTCCCCTCCTTTCGGCGGGCTTTGGGACCTGGCTCCCTATCCGGGCTGCCAACTGCGCCGCCCTCCTGTACATTTGAACTTGGCGCGCGCGCCCAGCCTTCGACCTTCCTCTTGACCGTTTCCTCGCTCCCCGATGGAGGCGTGGCCAATCCTGACTCATGTCCTCCCGCTGGTGGTGAGCTTCCTGATCCCGATACCTGGGACTCCTCCCCCCTACTGCGCTCTGGTGGGGAAGCTGGTCCTGATTTCCAACTGCTGCTCTCTGAGTCCCCTCTGGCCCCTTCTTCCTGGGGTGTCCCCCTAGGCACCCCCCTTGCTCTGACCATGGGAGCCCCTTTCTGTGAATCTTCCGATTCGCTGGAAAGACTCAGAGACCTCGGGCCGCTGTCATCGCTAACATTTCCTTCGGATTCCTCCCCTCGCTCTCTATTTCCTCCCTTTCCTGTGCCTCTGCTCCTGAGCCCCTGACAGGGGGCAATCCGCCCCAGGTGTCACCACTGAGGGGGGTGACAAAATGCCGGGCAGCACTCACCACAGGGTCTGCAGCGCGCCTGAGCCACACGTCTCTGTCAGGGGAAAAAGCAAAGCATCAATCACTATATAACAAAAGACAATGTTAATAATCAGGGCATGGGCAGAAATGGTTGGTTCCCACCCACTCCAGCGACACTGCTGTGACCAAGACCCCGTATGCTTCAGAATATTTTGGAAAAGGAGATGATATTAATAGACAGGATTGTAAAGTTTTTATATGCAGCAACAGCAGCAAGAATATTATTGGCACAAAAATGGATGCAAGAAGAACTACCGACGAAAGAAGAATGGAGGATGAAGTTGATGGACTATGCAGAATTAGATAAATTAACAGGAAGGATTCGAAACCTGTGAGGCCAGCGATTCTTAGAAGACTGGAGTAAATATATGAACTATTTGAAAAGTAAAAAGCTCCCAATCTTCATTAAAGTCACAGTTGTCCTTGTCCTGCAGTTTGCTTGTCAATTTAGCCAGTTCTGCATACGTCATCAATTTTTCTTGCCATCCCTCAAACTATCTCTTGAACACCCTCAATAAACATTTTCAGAATCCAGCTATGATCAATACCTTCAGCCACTTAACCTTTCCTGTGGAGTGCAGTTGAAGTTTGCACAATCATTGTTCAATAAAGTTATAAGCATGTCGGCTCCAAAAGAAAAAGAGAATATTTTGGAAAAAAGGAAGAAATGTTTGGAATCTGATTGCAGACCTTCTGCATCACACCTGCTTTGATGTTGATCTTTAGCCCTACGGTGTGACCGGCCAGGCATGCTTCATTGTGGGGGAATGAATGGAATTGGACTGGATTCTGTTAGCAGCTTCCAGAGCTGACGTTGTTCCCTGTTCAAGGTGGCGCATGCTAGCTTTTCATTAGCCACAAGTGTCTCTCTCCAGACAGATTGGACTTTGATCCTTGGAGTTTAGCAATGTGCCAGAAAAGGCCACACGACTGATAGCATCTCTAGCCGGGAGCAGTGCACGCCACCAGCTCAAATGCACACTCCATAAAAACTTGCAGGCCAGAATATGCAGACCTAACATATAGAATAAGAGAACAAGAAGAACATACATTTAGAGAAGATTGGAAAATGTTTATTGAATATATTACCACAATAGCAGGTTTTTTTAAAAAAAAACCAACACTTGTAATATTAAGGAGAATGTTTAAATTTGGAAATAATTAAGGATAAGTAAATTATAGACATGTATAATATAAGATGCTTCAAAAGAACCAGGGGAGGCAATCCCAAAATGTGGATCTAATATGGTGAGAAAATGTTTTCTTTTCTTTCTTTTTTCCCCCGTGGTTTATATTTACTGTTTAATTGTGAAAATTAATAAAAAAAATTATATAAAAAAGAGAAGATTGGGAAACGTTTGTTGAATATATGGGGGGAAATTGTGTACACACGAAAATGTTGGCAGCATGAAGATAAATTCAACAGTGTAAATAAATTTAGATGGACGCAAGAATGGAATACTGAATGGTATAGTTTTCGTAGAATATGCAGAGATATGATATGCAAAATGGACCATGGGAAGAGAAGAAGGGAAGTCATTGATATTTTAAGGATGTTAAAATGAGTATTTTAAATTGTGAACTGTTAACGGGAAAAATCCGAGGGCTCCCTTGGACAAAAACAAAGACACCAACCAGGATAACTTGGAGCAAAACAACAGCCTGTAGGCTTGGCCTTTATTGAATAGTGTCACAACAGGACTCCCACCTGCAACAAGATGAAGCAAAATGGAAGCCCCGAACAAAAGACGACCCCCAACTTTAATTAGTTACTAATCCCCCAAACTACACCCCTAAGACTAAATCATTGATACATCACAAAAAGGAGGGGTTGAGGGAGGAGTTGTGGTGGTAATCTGAGTGTCCTGTCACCTGGCTGGTTCCCCCTTTCCCCCTCCCCATGAGTCATTTTCTGACGACAAAAGGGTAGTCGCAGTTTCCTGCCCCCTGAGGGAAGATCTGATCATTGTCCTTTGTTCCAGTCCATGCTGAATCCACTTCTATATGCAAGTTCTTTGTGACCTTGATGGTCTTTGTCTAGGACCATCAGGGTTGGCATAGCAACTGGGCAGGACTCCTTTGTATGTGCTGGTATGCTCAAGGGATTATGGCTGCCCTGTATCAAACCTTCCCCATTGTGTACTCCTTCCTTCATGGAGTAAAATAAAAGTGGAACGGTGCAGATCCGATGTATGGTTGATTTTCTATGAATTTATAACAGAAGCGTAGCGTATGTAGTGTGTGTGTGTGTGTGTGAAGTTTGTACAAATTGAATGATTGGGGGGGGGGGGTTCCTGCAACAGAACAAATTCTGCTTGGAAGAACTGTGAGCTAGAGATGTGCTGCTTTAATGAAGGTGGCCAAAGCAGGCCCTTTGATGCATTTTGGCTGCCTCTCTTTCTCCAGGTTACTGCAGAAGCTGCCATGGCCCAGACTGTTCTTCTGAGCGTCGCCCTTCTGAGTGTCGTCCTCTCCTTCCATGGCGCTTTGGGCATCAGCGGCTGCAGAGTCACTCAAACCGGGCTGGAAAACTGTAAGGCACGGGTGTCAAACACAAGGCCCGCGGGCCGAATCCGGCCTGCCAGACCTCGTCATGTGGCCCGTGTAGCCCCAGCCCGCTATTAGAAGCCCAGTCGCTTCCCACCTGCCCATTGAACAGGCTGCCAACGCGACGGCGCATGCGCCCGACGAATCCTCCCGCTAACTCCAATATCATAAAGGAGATCGCTTACCCTAGCGGCCTTTTTTGAACATGCGCGACGTCGGGCGTGCAACGCGCATGCGCAGGCGGGGAAGGATTGGGGGGAAGCCCTGCCGTCACCGCCTCTGCGCTTGCGCACTTAAGTGAGCTTCCGGGGAATGGAGGCGGAGGTTGCGTGCGCGCCGCCTTCCCCGCGCATGCGTAATAGCCGGCAACCTGTCAGTGCCCGGCCCGTGGCGCCCGTTTGCCATTGCTGTGGCAGCCGAGGGGCCCTGCGGGAGGCCCTGGCTGCGAGGCCTGCCGGAGGGACGGAGCCTTCCAGGAACACGGCTGCTTTCTCCTCATCATCGCCTTCCCCCTCCCCGCCGCAGCCGCTCACACTGCTGGTGATGCAGCCCTGCGGCGGGGGCGGGGAGGCGGTGGGTGCCTTGCTGCAGCCCCAGGTGGTGCGGCAGCCGCAGCCACCATCGCGGGGGGC